CGCCTCCTTCCCTCCCTCCTCCCCAGCGGCGCCCTTCCTGCATCCCTCGCCTCTGGGGAGGAGGGAGGGAGGAAAAGGCAAAAATATCCCTTTCTCCCCCTCTCCCTCTCTCCCTCTTATCCTTGACTGCATTCGAACCTCGGCCGATGCTCTATCCACTGAGCCAAACCAATCTGCACTCTTCTCCTCTCTTTTTTTTTAGGGCCTAAAGTAGAGAGTTTCAATCAACTTCTTTTTTCTGGTAGATTCAACTAAGACCACTTGTTGAGCTTAAAGCCCTCACATTTGCCTCTTGTTGATCACTGAGAGAGAAAGAATTCGACAAGGCCCCTAGAGTTACATTGTGAAATCCCTACATGAGGAGAGAGAAAAGGAGAATTTGTCTTTTTTTCCATGTCTCTAATATCCAGAAATATTCCCCAGAGAAAATTGGGGAGAACAGACAGGGAATAAAGTTATGGGTGCCTAGCTGCTAATAAACCTTCTCAAACTCTGAAAGAATAGCAGGATAACTCCCTGTGGACTAAAAGGCATCTCTGGTCAGCCTCAGTCTTGAAGAAAGTCTTGGCTTAATAGTCCTTTTCCAGAGAGCCGGTTGCCTAACTTAGTGAAGAAGTTGCACCGTGTGTATGTTTTCCATCCCATTCCTCTGACCTCATCCTCTTAGATTTCTTCTCCGCAAAGCCCATTGAACAGTTGTATCTCAGACTCGGGCTCAGAAACCTCTCGGATGCATTGTCACACCTGGATCCTGCTCTCACCTCACCCTAGCATAACCACGTGTACATGTTCATGTACATTAAAAGATGGTGAGAACATTAAGAGAGAATATTAGGAGAGAGATGGGTATATTTACTACTTATTATCTCATCCTAATCTCTAATTTATTACTGCAGTTCTCCCAGAACACTCGTATTTTGCTGTGCTTTTCCCTGAAGTTTTCCCTGCCCCTGGACTTCACCATGGACTGCACCCACTCAACAGGGACTGTAATTTTACGATTATGAATCGTAATGTAAATATCTGATATGCAGAATGTATTTTCATTGTTTGTGACCCACAGGTTGAGTTAGAAACAACGATGAGAGAGAAACATCGATCAGCTGCCTCCTGCACACTCCCTACTGGGAATGTGCCCGCAACCAAGGTACATGCCCTTGACTGGAATTGAACCTGGGACCCTTGAGTCCGCAGGCTGACGCTCTATCCACTGAGCTAAACCAGTCAGGGCCAAACTTTCTTTTTTAAAAAAACTTTCTATCACAGAAGAGATACATGCTCATTCTAAAAATGAAAAAAATAGAAAAGTATAAAAAAGAAAAGAACATCACCAAAATATCATGACCTGGAGATAAGACACAATTAATGTTTGGGGTTTTTCTTTTTAATAGAAAAGAAACTGAAAGAAATACACCAAAACATTAATTAGAACACGTAGGTTTCTGCTAAATCTATATAAATGATATACAGAGTACATTATACATATGTTCCTCTATCTTGAAGTCTTTGTAAATAAATTTTTATTGGTGGCAAAAATATATCATTGAATGATTATGTCAAAATTTATTTAAACATTTCCACACTGCTGGATGGTAAACGAGTTTGTAATGCTTTCTTTTTTGGCAATTATAAATAATGAGAAGAACATCTATTCAAGTCTGTGTTTCTAGCTCTGAGAATTTCTGCATGATAAATTCCTACAAGTGGT